CTGGCGTGCTGATGGCTGAGTACGAAAAGCCAGCTGCTCTGGTGTATTAAACAAGTGAGGATTGACTCAGTTTGAGGCTGATCCCACTTAGGAGGGGACTGCCCTCTGTGACCCTGCCATCACCTTGCCTCTGGGGCCTCCACGGCATATGATAGGCTGAAAATGAATACCTGAGCCTTGGTTTGCCCATCTGTAAAGTGGAGACTGTTCCTATACGGCCCTTTGTTGGGGCAAAGGAGGCATTGCCTACGAAACCTTGCGTGGTGTGCAACACGCCAGAGGCATCGCTAACTCCATGGGAGTGCCACTGCGCAGGGCTGCGGGGAGAACTTGGGTAAGAGTGAGTTCTGGGTTACACAGCCGGCAACACTGCAGTTTGAGTTCATACTGTGCTTTAGTGTATGAGCCTGCCAACCAGATGGCTTCCTTTTCTGTTGAGTAGATGAGAGGAGGGGGCGCCTGTGTGGCTCAGTCAGCTGAGTGTCCAATCTCGCGGTTCATGGGTTCAAGCCCTGCATCGGGCTCTGTGCTGACAGCTCGGAGCCTGGACCCTGCTTCAGATTCTATGTCTACCTCTCTTTGCCCCTCCCCTGCTCGGGCACGCCCTTGCATGCACGCTCTCTCTCAAAAATAAACATTAAGAGAAATTTTTTTTTGATGTTTTTATTTATTTGTGAGAGAGAGAGAGACAGCGTGAGGAGGGGAGGGTCAGAGAGCGAAGGAGACACAGAATCTGAAACAGGCTCCAGGCTCCGAGCTGTCAGCACAGAGCCTGACGCGGGGCTTGAACCCACAAACCATGAGATCTGACCTGAACTGAAGTCAGACACTTAACCGACTGAGCCACCCAGGCACCCCCCAGAATTTTTTTAATAAACAAATAGATGAAAGGAATAGAGAAAACTGAACTTCAGGTTTGAATCCCAGCAAAGCACTTACTAGCCCTTTAGCCTTTTTGCTTTCTGCTGAGTGATCTCCAAGACAGATCCTTCATCTGGATAGAGCCCCCTTTTCACGGATAAATGTGTATGTGTCGAGCGCACACAGTGCCTGGCATCCGGTGTCACCCATGCTTACCATGCTTACATCAGCAGCAGGTGACATGAGCTCGAGCACCGTGTGCCACCTGCACACCTGTAGACTGGCATGTGAGCCCTCTAGATAGGTGCTGGTGGTCACCCGGGGTGCCCGCCCACCGTCCCTGTGGGCAGCCAGGACATCTTTGTACACTGCCACAGAAAAGCAGTCCTTACAGACAGCTAGTCTGTCTCTCAGGTCTCTGGGCCCCTGGGCTTTAAAAATTCATCTCGAGGCCTGAGCAGGTTGAAGGGTGCTGAGGGTACCTTTGCCTGCTGGCGCTCCTTGAGGCTAATGATGTGGCAGGGGCTCGCTTTCAGAGAGGGTGTTTGGAGAGCTCCCCTCTCCTCCGCTGCCTTCATGTTACATCTCCATGTTGAATTTATGGGAGCAAGTCCCTGAATTAAGCCTCATGTCTGGATAAGCTGTATAGATGGGTCTAAGAACCAAAGTGACCATGAACACTGCTAACAACATGGTAGATTGTACTGAGTGTCCCACTTTGTGCTGAGGGCTGGGATGGGCAGTTGCCCTGAATCCTCGCAGCAGATGCTGAAAGGGCAGAGGGCAGTGTCCCCATTTGCTAGTAGGGAAAAGGAGGCTCAGATGATAAAAACGTCTGGCAAGCGGCAGAGGCGGGATTCGAACCTGGGACTGTCCACCCCAGCCTGTGCTCTTCCCCCCAGTAGAGCACTCGAGTGAAGAAGCGGGGTTAGAAGGTACTGGTGGCCCCTGGAGATTTGTAAACCCTGTGGCCCGCAGGCCTAAGGGCAATGCGGTTTGAAGGGAGGAGGCGGAGTTGGGGGACCACATACCAGTCCCAACTGGTTTCATCAAAACATGACATTTTGACCTCCACAGATGAGGAAGGCCGCACCTATAGAGTACAGGACAGCCCCCTCTTCACCCGGTGTTCCCTGTCTGCAGCCTGGGGCAGGGGCAGAGGCGGACATGGGAGCCCGTCCATTCCGCACCATCATCCTCGCTGCCACTGCGCTCCCTCCCACTTCTGTTCTCCAAACTGCTGGTGGTATCACTGGGAGCATTTTGGCTCCCCGGTCTCCCTGATCAGACCAGACAGCCTCTTTGCTGGCAGAGGAACGTGCCAGAAGGCTGCTCACCGCCTGGTGGCCCCTCGCCCCCCGGTGCACCCTAGACACCAGACTTGGGCACAGGTACCTAAGCCACGCCTCCCAGGAACGCTTTCCTGCATGAGTGTGGTTATAGATGGAGGGATTACGTGGGTTTTAGACTCCGCTTAAGCTCTTGTCCCTCCAGGAAGGGATTTCCCATGACCGTGACCTGTAAGCGGGAGCCGTGGGGGGAGACTGACCTAGACCCAGACCCTCGTCCCTACTGCCCATTAGCCACGCAGCCCTGCTCCCTGAGCTGCTCTGGGACCGGGTGACGGTAGCTCCTCCGTCATGGGTGGTGGACGATGCGCGGCGGTAGCCGTAACACCTGGGCTCCGTGCGGGGCCACGCGGAGTGGGAAGCAGTGTGGGAGAGCTGAAAGCTGCCTTAATGGGTTGTCCCCTACAAAGCCCGTGGAATGGGCCTGGCACACGTTAATGCCCCGTGAGTGATTGCTGTTGTGATAATTACAGAGAAATCAGGTCGGACGTGCTGAGGGGCCTTTATCCACGCGCTGAAATAAGAGAGCGGAGTATTTGCCAACATGCCTTCCCGGGTCACCGGCCCCTTCCCTCCCCACCCAGGGCCATCGCAAACTCAGGCTGCCAGAGCCACGCTTGTTGGCCAGGGGGCTCTGGGAGCACTGAGCACAGAGCATCAGAGCGGAAAGACTGGGCAGCGACACTGGGCAAGTTGGGATTAGGTGCCGGTCCTGTTGTTCCGCAGTTCTGTTCCCTTGTTAAAATGGGGCGTCATCCTCGCAAAAGGAGATGATGATCAGGAAGGTGAAAGATGGGGTGTGCTAGTGATGTCACATGTAGGTAAATCACACCCGACTTCTCTTTTGTGCTCGGCCTACTAAGAGGGGGCTCTGTGGCCAGAGGTAAGCTCTCCACTGGAAGGGATGAGGCAGCCCCTGGGCGAAGCTGAGGACACGGGGCAGTCAGGGAGCTGGGTCTGACATCTGCGTGCCTCTGCCATTCACTGTCCCAGCAAGTGCCCGGAGGGTCTGCTGCTGCTTTAACCCGGAGCTGGGTGGTCCGAGCCATTCCCACTCGGGGCCGCACATCCCGTGTTCCGGTGTGGCTGCTGCCTTTGGCCCCTGGGGGTCGGTGGCCCTTCCATCATGGGAGATGGGAGGGGAACCCGAAGCCAAGGCCCTCGTCCTGGAAGAGAGTGCACGCACTTTCATTGTCCCTGCCCCTGGGGGGGAGCAGACCCAGACCTGCAGGCTGGCCTGGGCATCCTCCCAGAAGACCAGACCCAGTGCCAAAGCAGGGGGAGGGTGGAGGAGCCTGTGGGAAACGTCAGCCTGGCTTCCTGGCCAGGGACCCGGTGATTACAGCGGTCATTACAGGCTGGGGTGGCGGGAGCGCTCACGAGAGCTGTGCTGTTGGCTTGACCTTCCATGGGCACGCTCTGTCCTGCTAGTTTGGTGCCGACGAGGGAGTCCCGGCTTCTGGATCTCTCTGCCTCCTCCACCACTGCTTTGCTCCTGCCGTGGGCCACCTTCCTGCTGACCGGCGGCGTCCCTGTGAGCTGGTTGTGGTCAGCTTGCGTCCCGCCCAGGGAAGGAGGGAAAGCAGTGTCGGAACTGGTCCCAAAGATTATCTTAGCGGATCACACACAAGCATGCAATTTCCTGGGCTTTTCTTGTCCTATTTTACAAGGACTTAGAGCATCACAGACGGCGAGGTCCCCCCCAAGCCTTCCCTCCCTCTGGCTGCTGGTTGCTCTATCTTGAAAGCACGGGGTGGTCTGGGTGGGGGTGGAGGCAGCAGGCGTGCTGAATAAAGCCAGGGTTTGAGATGATTTCTAGGTCATTCCAGGATGTGCTTATGGTGATTTTATTTTTCCAAGTCAGAGACTGAGATACAAGACCCACCAGTGGATTTGTTGCTGTCGATTGAGGGGACTTAACAGGCAGGGAAAGCGAAGCAGCAGAGGAAGAGGCTGGGGCTAAGAAGTCCAGTATTTTCTTCCAGATCAAATACTTTTCCAGTGTCCCTGAGATCTGGCACCAAGGCAGTCGCTAGACATCAGCCAATCCTAACAGGGCCAGGTGACGGGACCACAGAGCAGAGGACTTGGATCTGCCCCCCCCCTCCCCCACCGGTCAAGTGGCAGGACCTGTGAACCCACGCAGGTTCTGGCTCCAGAACTGGATTCTTGAACAGCCCTAGGTCCCCCCCTCCTTCCCTGGCTGGAGAACTCCCCCCTGCCCCCCACCATCCCTGGCTGTGGGATTGGCTCCTCTGGAGACCCGAGAGCTTTGGTCACAGGCCCTCAGACCTCGTGCAAGTTCTCAGGAGCCTGAGCCTCACTTGTCTGTGACCCAGGGTAAGTCCACCCGGAGCATGGCCACGAAGCTTCGGTACAGCACCGTTAGGGCGGGGAGGGCAGTGGACCAGGGCCTGCAGGGACAGGCAGCTGGGGTCCCGTGGCAACTCTTCCTAACAGCGCAGGGGTGGAGCTGGAGATCGGACTCGTAGCTGCAGCCGGCGAGCCTGGGTTCCCAGCCGGGGCCTGCCCTTCTGTCAGGGTGTGATGTTAGCACATACCCTGTGCCTCAGTTTCCCTCTGAGTCAGGAGAATAATGTGTACCTACGGCAGCGTGGTTGTCCCATGGCTAGGTTCACTCCCTCTGAGGTGTGTAGAAACCTCCCCGGCCCCCGGCACTTGACGGTTCCTGCCGTCCCGTGGTCGGGCGCTGGCGGGGCATCTGGAGGGTGAAGGCGCCCTGGAGTCCCCAGCCCGGTGCCCACTCATCCCCTGCCCTCTGTCTTCCAGGTTGATCCTCGGGACCCACAGTCTCATCGCGTCTCACACAGGACGGCAGAGTGTGTAGGTGGCGGCCTGGTCGGTTGGCGATCTCCCAACAGCTGGATCTCCGGCAATGTGAAGCTTTTGTTTGGGATTTCCCCCTCCTTTTAGTTTTGCTTCTTCTTCTTTTTTTTTTTTTAACCTTATTTTATTTTTTGTCCTTTTTTTTCCTTTTTTTTTATTTAAACGATTAAGACTTCAGAAGAGCAAGAAACTATTCTGTGGAGAAATAACACGGACAAAGCATATGTGTAAATTCCATTTTTAATTTTTATAAGGGGTTAGGGATCTCTTTGGTTCTCCTTTATCTTCCCTCTTCTTGGTTTTTACCCATCCCTCGGCTCTGTTTCCAACACCTCACGTCCCCAGAGAGGCCTGCCTCTCCGTGGAGACGGGTCAGTCCCACCATGGGGGCGTGAAGACAGGAAGCAGCCTGCAGCCCCCCCTCCCCCGCCCCCCCAGACGCAGGCACTGCCGGGCTGCTCCGCGCTCGCCCTCAGGCCTTAGAGATGGTCAGAGGTGAAGAACCACCTGGAAGTGGAAGACAGGGTTTGGCCAGGAGAACTCAAGAAAGTCTAAACTGCGGGTTTGCTTGCTCTCTTTCGGCTTCTGGAAGCTCTGGGCTACGCCAGGACACGCAGTGGTGCAGTTCACTCCCTCTTCTGCCCCTTGTAAGTGAGAATGCTGGGGGCGGGGGCTGGGGGGACAGAGGTGACTCTCCCCCCACTTCCCGTCGGTTGAGTGTCAGCCCAGCCCAGCTTGACAAGCCTACGTTTCTGGTAGGGATCTCCCTCCCGGAGGAAGACCGCCCCCCAACCCCGCCCCAGGAAACAACTTGTGCCAAACCTCTCTCTGGGACATGGCTGGGCCTTCAGCAGGCAGCTGTCACTCCTGTGGGGTCAGTGCCGGTCACCTCCCACCTCCTGGGTCATCCCCTTCCCCTACGCACCCGCCAAACATCCCTGTTGTCACAGAGACTCTCTGAGTCCCTGAGATCCAGTTGTGACCACTGCCATGAGAACAGGTGTCCTGAACTGGCCGCCAGTGTCCGCTCCTCCCAGGGAGGGGTGTGCCCTGCGTGTGGGCCTGTGGTGTCACAGCTGGTGACCGGGTCAGATACCGTCACCGTCACCCCCAGGGACTTACTGTTAGGTGCCCCCACTCAGCGTCAGCGTGTCTGCTGAGGGAACAGGGACCTGCCGAGAGCAGAGAGGGGACAGGGTAGAGCCCCTGCAGCTGCCCGTTGTGACCTGCCAGCATCACCCTGTGAGCCTCACCTCGCTGTCCATGCTCGCTGACGGCGCTCTGCAGCTCCCGCCTCCCGGGCTTCTGGACCTGGATGTCCGCTCCCCTGGCAGGGTCACGGAGACTGGCCTCGGGTTGTCCCTGTCACCCAGAAGCAGCTGGGGCTACTCTGGAGGCTTTTCACCCCATTACGGCCAAGTAGGAAAGGCTGTTGGGGGAAGGGGAAAGGAATTCTCTTAGGTTTGCTTTTTGTTCTCTCAACCAGCATAGGATCGATAAAGGAGGTAATTGCAGGGCATTCAGGCTGCTGCGTGACCACGGGGGGTGGGCTCTCCCCCACCCCCCCACCGAAGCGGCAGTCCTTGGGCCCTGGGGGCCTGGAGAGACCCGTACAACACCATCCCCGAACCGCAAACTTTCAGCACGCTGGCTTCTGCTCCCTTGGGCGCAGGGGGTTGGCTGCCAGGCGCAGGGCTGCAGGTGCGAGCCGGGCCCTTCCTTCCTGGTGAGACCCTTTGTGCCCACCTGCCTCCTGTCTCCTCAGGCTCTTTGGAGGGTGGGGAGCGCAGTGTCCCTAATCACACACACTCCCCTTCTCTGCCTGTCACCGCGCCCCCAACTTACCCTTAGGGGCTGCTGTCTCTGTCCGGGAGCAGATGGGAAAAACAGTCCCCAAACTCGACTGCAGCCCCTGCCTTCAAGTCCCCGATGAAGGCTCGGGCCTAACAAGGTATTTACCTTTTGCTCGATTTTTCCTCTGCTCTCCCCGGGTCCCCCCCAACTCCCCGCCATCTGGGCAAGGTCTTGGAGCTGCAGTGGTCTCCCCGGCCACCCCTCCCCCCCCCACATTACTTCTCTTGGCATCAGAGTAGCCCCTGCAGGTCCCAGGATGTCTACGCCCTTGGACGAGGCAGGTGGCCTGGTGGGGGGCGCCGGCCTCGCGTGCCCTTCCCTTGCAGAAGTCCGCTGATCCCAGCTTGGGGGTGGGGCCTCCTTCCCTGGCTCCTGAGGGCCAGCTTGTTAGCCCCAAGTGCCTGTCTCTCCCCCCTCCCCATGTGTCTCCCTCGCGCACCCAGCCGGCCAGGAGGACGTCACCCCGCAGTGAGCGCCGGCTCTGCCCGCGGCCAGTGGCCCAGCTTGGGGCCGGACCCGGGGAGCCCCTGTCCTCTTCCTCGGCCCCCTTCCCGCTCATCCCCTGCCCCGGTCAGCTTCCTGCCTTCCCACCCTCTCCACCTGCGCCTCATCTCCACACCACCGCGTTCGTAAGGCCCGTCCAAGTTCTAGGAGGTTCCAGACCTTAAAATAGCAGTCATTCTCTTCTCCTTGGATGTGTGAAAAGGTTAGCCCGGAGGAGGGAGGCTCTGGGCCTGAGCCCTGTGGGTGCGGGGCTTGGGTCCCCGTCCGCCAGAGGACGCAGCAAGACAGATCATAGTGCCTTATTCCACTGCCCTCCCCTGACCAGACCTGCTGGCTCGGCCCGAAGCCTGTGGCGTCCTTCTCCCTGTCCGTGTCCGTCTGTCACTTACACTCATTCCTGCCCACAGAGAGCCACGAGGGACGGGTCCCCCCTGCCCCCTCGCCCCATCCCTCCCCGGGCTGCAGCCAGGCACAGGTGCTCGGCCCCTTTAGCCGAGTACAGAAGAGCCGCCGGGTAGACTGCCTCTCCCCCCCCCACCCCTGCAGCAGGTCCCCGCCCTCTTACCTCTAGCCGGGAGGATGCTGCCATCTGTTCCCTCAAGACAGGCTCCGTCTGACCCCTTTCTGGGCACCGGGGACTAAGGTCACAGGCCCCAGCCTCCTCTCCCAGAGGCATTGGGACCGAAGAGTGGGACTTCTCCCACACAGACGTGGCGTGCCCCCGCCGGCTGCCCTTCTGAGGAAGCGCGTTCAATGTTTACTTGAGAAATAACCCTGTTTACAGCTGGAGGAGAAGCGTGCCCGCCACTGGCGCAGACCTGCCTCCCAATGCTGCCTGGCCTCCTTTCCGGCACTGCCAGGGGTGGTCCCGGAGCTAACGAGGCAGAGACGGCAGGGGGCGCCCTGCCCCCAGCTCTGTCCCTGACCCCCGGTGCTAAGACCACTCACCACCTTCCTCGCAGCCTTCCTGCCCCTGGACATTCCCCGCCTCGACCATTCCCTTCCTCCAGGGTTCTCTGCTCCTCGACATATCAGCTGGCCCCTAGAAAACCAGTGTTTGGAGCAATAAGATTATTTTTGCCTGAGTCTTTCTAAGAAAAGGTAAACAGCTGGCATGATAAGAATGTTCTTTTCCATGCCGTCGCAGTTTACCTTTTTAGAAGACAGATCTTCGTAGGACGGATGCCTGGGTTTCAGCCTCAGAGTATTTTTTGGAAACTTGGAACAGCAGGAGTTGGGCCTCTACCTCCTAAGGAGGGGACCCCTAACTCTCTGCTCTCACCTTGCCCCATGCTGCCTGGGCTTCCAGCCTCACCCCCCAAGTGCGCGTCTCACCTTTGATCCTGCTCACGGCGCCCCCCCATACCTACATCCCGGGGCTCCTGGGTGATTGCTCCCCCCGACTCCTTTCCCCTTCCTTGGCCTGGCCGGTGGCCCCCAGACAGACACGGCACTACTGGAGTCGTCTAGGAACTGGCAGCCCGAGCACGGCCAAGCTTGGGGCTGCGCCCCGGCCTTGGGGACACCAGGCCCATCTCTGATCCTGCCCACGGGGCGTGGGGGGCAGGGACTCAACTCCTGTCCAGAGAGATGCCCTCAGAAGGGGAAGCAAGAGATGGGACGTGAGGGGTGGCCACCGTAAGCCCCCATGGCCACCGTGGAGAAGCGAACCCACTGTCACCGGCTGTCAGGAGGTTCCCCCACATCGTTCTCCATGCGAGGCCGCAAGAGGAGGGGAGCTTAGCCTGTTCAGGAACATTTTAAAGAAAGCCTTTGTGCCCGAGGGGCCTCTATCATTAGACAATTTCACGTTCGCGCGGGGCCGACGCGGGTGTGAGGGAGGCATGACCTAGCCCAGGCACAAAGTTAGCTTCGAATACTAGCTGATAAATCTATTTTTCTTTATTTTCTTGTTTTGCACAGAAGCTGGTAATCTAGGACCTACGTGTGAACAACTTTATATGACTATTTTTTGTACTTGGTTTACTTGGGTTGGTATGATACATTATATTTAAGTTCCTCGAACACTGTGCATCCCCCAGTGCGTATGAATGACTGAGGCTTTGTAAATTAAGGGACGTTTGTGTGAATAAAGTTATTTGATGGGGTCAAAGAAGCCATACGTGATTTGGAAACGAGTGCTTTGTGGTTTTGTCGCCACCTGTTTGGGGGAGGGAGAGGCCAGTCCGTGGGGCGGCTCCCCAGTCAGGGTGGGGGGAGGGGGGAAGGGCGGGACCAGACAAGAGGACCTTGGCCCCTGGGTGAGAAATCTCCCTGGTGGCCTTTGAGTGGGCTTCCCACCCCACCCTGTGAGTAGGCACTCAGAAGGGGGAACATGCCCTGGGGAACGGGAGTCCCCCTACCCCACCCAGCCTGCTGGGCCCACCACAAGCCTTCCAGGGGATTCTAGGGCTGTGGCCAGTGTTGCCAGGCGCTCAAAGGCCCGCCCTTCCAGCCCCAGCACTACTTCGCAAAGTTCTGCCCTCCAGATTTTTTTTTTAATGTTTATTTTTGAGAGAGGGGGAGAGACTGAGCGTGAGCAGGTGAGGAGCAGAGAGAGAGGGAGGGAGACACAGAATCCGAAGCAAGCTCCAGGCTCTGAGCTGCCAGCACAGAGCTCGACATGGGGCTCCAACCTGCAAACTGTGGTATCATGACTTGAGCCTAAGTCGGACGCCTAACCGACTGAGCCCCCCAGGTGCCCTGGCCCTTGGGATTTTTAATGGAGAGATAAGAGTGGTCTCAGAGGGGGAAGGGGAGAGGGACGTCCTTGAAAAGCTCCAGGGGGAGGTGTGCCGTCAGAGGAGCCCAGGACACCTCTGTGAGCCGAAGGGGTAGCACGCACGTCCAGAGAGCAGAGGGCTCTCCCTGAGCTAGGCTGCCCCACTAGTTGCCCATAGAGCCCCTCTCCCTCTGCCCGGCTGACAACAGCCAGTTAATTCCACGGGACTGGGGTGAATTAGAAGCCAGGTGCCTCTGTTACCTCCACTGGCCTTCATGGTAGGTATGGTGTGTGTCCCTCTGCTGATGAAGACGCCGAGGCCCAGGGCGATCCGGACTGCTGGCTGATGCTTGGCACACCCGGGAGGAACGCAAATGGCAAATGACAGCCCCTTGGCCGGCAGAGACGAGCGATTTCGTCTGCCCGCAAGCCAAACGGAGGTGACGACAGCCACCTCTAGCGCAGTTGAGGCTAAATAGGAGCCTAGTATTGGGCCCAGCACTTAGGCTCTCAGCAAATGCTTCCATAGTTAGTGGCGTTTTCCCAGAGAGACCGGTTTGGGATTTTCCCGGGGTCTGCTGACCACTAAGGCACCTTGAGTCTTCAGGAAAGCTTATCAGTCTGCAAGGGCGGGTGGCGGTGTCTGAGGGGCCCACCACTCTGCCCTCTCGGGACAGACGGACCTTGTTGACCCAGGAATAACAAAAGTGCTGGAGGCCGAGTCAGGCCTCTGGAATGTGTGCTAGAAGAACAGATAAGTCAGCCTTCCCGCCTGATCTGAGAGTGGGCCCGCTGCATTCCAGCCACAGGCTTTGGTGTCTTAGAGGCTGCTGGGGACAGAGCTTCTTGCAAAGGATCCTTCTGGGCTCAGCCCGGAGCTTCGAGAAGGACGACCTGCAAATTCCCTCGAGTAACTTGGTCGAGATAATTCATCCCTTTGAGGTGCCCAAGTCCGTGGTTTCCCATATATTCAGAGTCGTGCAGCCTTCGCACCGGCCAATTCCACAACATCGTTATCGCCTCAGGGAAGAAATCACACCCGTTAGTAAGTGTGTCTCATTATCCCCCCAACAAACGCGTAACCCCACCACCCCCCTCCCCCCCAGCCCTGGGCAACCGCTGATCTACCTTTTGTCAGTGGATTTGCCTGTTCCGGGCATTCCTTCCATGTAAGTGGAATCAGACGCTCTGTGGCCTTTTGTGTCAGGCTCCTGTCGCTTCACAGTGTTTGCAAGGCTCATCTATGTCCCGGCTTCATCCCTGCTTCCTGTGGAATCGTATTCCACAGTCGGGAAACACCCCATCCTAGAATGTATCCCTTTGTTCTTGACGGACATTGGGTTGCTTCCGTCTGGGGGCTCTTGATATGGCTGCCATGGGGCGCCTGGGTGGCTCCGTCGGTTAAGATTCCAACCTCTGTTCAGGTCACGATCTGTTTGTGGTTTCAAGCCCCGCATCAGGCTCTGTGCTGACAGCTCGGAGCCTGGAGCCTGCTTTGGATTCTGTGTCTCCCTCTCTCTGCCCCTCTGCCTCTTGCTGCCTCTCCCTCTCAAATATAAGTAAATATTTTTAAAAATTAAAAAAAGAATACCACTGCCATGAACATTCGTGGACAAGTTTTTGCGCAGACCCAAGTTTTTAATTCCCCTGGGTGCGTGCGTATCTCACAGAATTGCTGGGTCACACGGTGACTGCAATTGTTGAGGAGCTGCCCGATTGTGTTACAAGGAGGCTGCACCATCTCACATTCCCGCCAAGGATGTGCAAGCCTTCGGCTTTCTCCATGTCCTTGCCGCCACTTGTCACCCTCCTTTTTTACTGTAGTCCTCCTGGCGTGGGAGAGAGGTCTGCGCCCTTGTACGATTTGTTAATGGCAGACGGGGGAACAGCAAATAGGCAGTTGAGATGCTGATGCAGTCCTGGCCCAGCGAATACGAGGTACCTAGCGGGGCTCAAAGAATGCAGACGGACTCTGCTAGTTACTGACTCCCTTGACCTTGAGGCAGGTGACCTTTCTGCAAAGTAGTAACTATCCAACCACATAGGGTGGTTGGCAAGACTGAAGTTTTGTCCCGCAAACTACATGGTGGCACTCCTCCGGACGTCTCCTTGGCCCCGTGTCCTTGGCACCGGGACTGGATAGGGCAGGGCTCACACACAAAGGGGCTCCGGGGCTCCCAGTGTGTTCGCGGCACTATAACTCGGGGTCTCCTGAGTGCCATGCCGCGTGAGCAGAGAGAGGCGTGTTCCCCAGGTCCCCTGCTCCCGCAGCTGGCCAGGCCTGCTCCGGTGGAAGAATATGGACATCGGGGGCCTCACTGACCTTCCCCTCCAGACCTGCTCCTGAGCTTGATGGGCCCTGCTGGCAAGGTGCTCCGGGGCCAGAGGAAGGAAGGCGCAGAGAAGTTGGACCAGGGAAGAGGGGAGCTCCGGGGACTGTGGAGCCGGGCCACGGAGCCCCCTGGCAGCAGGAGGCCACACTCGTCAGATCTGCTGGGCCTGGGCCCTGAGCCTGCGAAGCCCGGACAAACTGACAAGTGAGCCTGTTTTCTTACCTGTAAAATGGCAATTCTGGGACCCACCTTGTAGGTTTTTCTGCGAATGAATGAGACGATGCATATGTCATCCACAGCGCAGAGCCTGACATGAAGTAAATGATCCATCAGTGGTATCGATAATATTTTTCAGTGTTTATTTGCTTTTGAGAGAGAGAGTGTGCAAGCGAGGGAGAGGCAGAGAGAGAAGGAGACGGGATCTGAAGCGGGCTCTACGATGACAGCAGAAAGCCCAAGTTGGGGCTCAAACTCAAGACCTGCAAGATTATGACCTGAGCCGAAGTCAGACCAGGCACCCCCTGTTTTAGAGGGGAAAAAATATCCTTTAAGGTGTTTCTCCAAAATAAAGCGCTCAGAGTCCAAATACTGTTAAGGAATATTGTGTGTCTCATTCCCCTTGCATGTCGCAGTGCACATTAATGGCCCTGAGAAGGTCTGTATGAGCCCAGCTTCTCAAGCTTCACTGATGTTTCCACACTGAACACCTACTAACATCTGACTTCGGGGTTCTGGAGAAGCTAAACAAGGCCATCTTTGCAGCTCTCAGATCCTAATTCCCCATCAGGGGACATTAGCCACCCCATCCTGTTTCCCATGGGGCTGGAATGACTTCCCTCTGCAAAAGCCTCCAATAATTGCCTCTGTTTGGTCTACTGGTGCCTTGAGGGCAGATCGGAATAGGAGGAATTTAATAACCACAGTCTGGGTCCCCTGCCAAAATGCTGTAGGGCCCTGGCCCGGACGCCTCGAACGTGGTGAGAACACAGAGGGCAGATGCCCCAGCCAGCAGACAGGGCCACTGCCAAACCCCTCACGCTCCTGGTGCCCATTGGCAGAGCTCAGGCACTCTGCAGCTAGTGTTGACCCAGCGCAGGGAGCAGCGAGCCTTCCGCTGGAAGGCACTCTCAGTGTGGGGGGTACGCCCGCAGGCCAAGCTGCTCTACCTCTTTAGGACTCAGTTTCCTCCTATGAGAAGTGGGCATCGTAACCACACCTGTGTCTGTGAGGGTTAGGTATGGCTGCCTGAACAGGGGACCCCAGCAGCAGCAGCCGAAGCAAGAGAGAGGCTGGGTCTCTCTCCCATGAAAGGAGTGTGAGGTGACTATGCAAGGGCTACCATGCTGGTTACGTGGTGAGGTCATAGGGGATCCCCTCTCCTCCTGTCTTGCTGTCCTGACGCCTTCAGCAAGTGGCTCACCTTCAAGGTCACTTCCCAGTCCAAGATGGCAGCTGGAGCGACCTGTTCTCTCATCTCAGGCAACATCAAGGAGGGAGGGAGGAAGAGAGCTGGCCCCCTCCTTCCACGGAAACTTCCCCTGAAGCCCCACACCACCCTTCTACTTACACCACACTGGCTAGTGCTGAGCATGGCCACGTCCATTGCCAAGGAGTCTGAGAAGCAGAGGCGGCAGCGGCCTTGTTACTAAGGTTGGGGGAGGCTGGGCGTCGGGTAGGCAAGTAGCCATGCACGTCACAAGCATGCCTCTAGCTCGTGCCAGGGAAGGCCAGGTATTACCATTATTAGTAATAATAGTTCTGCAGACCTGGGTTCCAAAGAAAAGAAATAACCAAATTAGCCAGCGGGCCTCTAAGGAGGCTCAGCCAGAGCTGGGGATTAAGCCACGTGGTGCACCCCGCACAACCACCTGATGCAGAAAGTTGTAGACTTGGGATCTCATCTGCAGGCGGGTCATTTCTTCAGTACGTGTGTATCGCGCGCCATCCTCTAGGGCTGGGGATCCAGGGAAGACGGGCGAAGAGGCAGCATTTTAAGGACGATCGAGAGTGGGGTCTGAAATACAGTGCCTGTTATCTGCCACTTCCTGTGTGACCCTGGGCAGTTTGCTTAA